AAAAAAAAAAAAAAAAGAACTAGAGAAGCTGTTGAGAACCTGTCAGAGGCTGTTAGGTAAGCTGTTTGGAGAGTCTGTTGGGGAGTTGTTGGAAGCTGCTGGTTCTCCTGAGCTATTCTGCTGGAGGACCTTGTCATGCTGGCTTTCCTGGTGAACTTGGTTGCTGTCAGAAGAGGAGCTCAGGACCTTGTTGTTGCTGAGAATGGCCAGAGTTCACTTTGGGCGAACTTTGGTCCTCACCTTAACCATCACTTCCTTGCTCCAGAGGGGAAAATGGTACACTGCTCAGTCTTCTGGAGAAACTTGTCACATTGGCTTTTCTGACAGGCACTCAACTTTCCTCATTGCTGAGGCGCCTGGGACCTCACTGTCGCTGAGGATAGCTGTGGTACTTTTCGGAGGAGCTCTGGTTCTTGAGCATTATTATTATTTTTTATTTTTAGATATTATTTTTTTTAAATGTTTCCTTTCTTTTTTTCTTTTTTTTTTTTATGGTCAGCTCAACCTACCCTGGGGGCGGGGCTGGCATGGCATGTGGTGCTGGGGATTGAACCGAGGTCCCTGCATGCTTGCTTAAACTTGCCTAAGCAGGCGCTTTAGACCACTGAGCTATCTCACCAGCCCCCTCTTGAGCATTATTTTTTGGCTCTAGTTCAAAGCCCTCAGCCTCAGCACAGATCCTTCATCCCACTGGCACAGACTTTCTAGCTTCCACCACTGACCTTTGGGTCTTCCCAGTGCAAATCTGTGAAATAGGCCTGCATGAGACATTATCGTGGGCTCTAGGCCTCCAGTTGGACTTGTGGGAGGCACTGTTATGATCTCTGGGTTTTCAGCTGGACTCATGCAGGATATTAGGATCCAGGCCCTCAGCCGGACTCTTTGGTCTTTAGTGAGTGAACAGATTTCCTGTACTCTATGATGTTTTGGGTGATTCACTACAAAATAATATAAAATGTGCCCTATATTGTATTGTTCCCCTTATAAAACCCCAAACCATGACCCATGACACAGGGATATAGATTAGTATAGCTAACAAACAATATGGAAGTTCCTTTTAAAATTAAAGCTAGAACTCCCTTTTTTCTTTTCTTTTCTTTTTTCTTTTTTCTTTTTCTTTTCTTTTTTTTTTTTTTTTTTGTGGAACTGGGGATTGAATTCAGGACCTTGCACTTGCCAGGCAAGCACTTATTCTACTGAGCTATCTCCCCTGCCCCAAAACTCCCATTTTGATGTAGCAATCCGAACACTAGATATAAATCCCAAGCAGCACAATTTATGATAGCCAGATCTTGGAAACAACAAAGATGCCTGTCACATGTGGAATGGTTGAAAAAGATGTGATACTTTTATATAATGGAGTACTACTCAGCTATAAAGAATGATAAACTCGAAGCCTTCATATTTAAGTTGATGCCACTTGAAGATATATTTATTAGTGAAATAAACCAGACCCACATCTGTAAATATCGTATTGTCTCCCTAGTATAAGGACGTATAATTCCGTTTATGGTTAGTTTTCTAAATTTCTTTGTAAAAATATGTAAATGCTTATTTATGCTTTTATAAAATTATTTTTCCTTCATATTCTGTAAGGACTTAAAGTTCAACATATCAATATTTGATGGAGGGGCCGGGGAGATGGCTTAGTGGAATAAGTGCTTCCCTGGCAAGCGCAAGGGCCTGAGTTCAATCCCCGGTTCCGGA